TAAAATTTTGCCATAGAATATGGCAATTATACCCATAGAAAGGTATAATATTGGGGATCGGGAGGAAAAATAACAAAGGGAATCATACCGCCCATAGAGCCCTAACCCTGCTTTTTCATTCCCTAGTACATCTTGGCGTTCTGTCCACGTTAGTGTGTTACTTTTACACGACACGTACTCCACAGAATGGGTTTACCACATCTACATGCTTAGCCGTAACTCCACGCATGGGCACTGTGGCTGAGTCTAGTTTTTCAGCGTTACAACAATGGTATGGTAAACCTCGCCTAAAAAACCTCACGTCGTAAACCCCAAGAAGTGCAATTACTTTGAATATGAATTTTTTTTAGTTTAGAATGTGTACTTGACTTTTGAGGGGCACCCTGAAGCCTGGGGTTCTATGCCTGGAGGAGCTGAGACCCCAGGCGCCTGCTGCCCCCCTGTCTGCAGCTTTGCATACATTGCACTAAAAGTTCCCTCCTGGGCCCAGGTAGCCTCTTAACACCAGCAGGTCCCCAATCCCTTCTCGGTGTATGTCCTGGCCACCTCCTCTCCTGTGACTCGCACCAGGCATCGTGGGAAGGCTGGTTTTAATTTTCTACACGACTGCAACAGCCCAGAAACACTGGGAACCAATCTTGTCATTTTCCAACCTGCCTCCTCAGAGCACAGCCAGGCCCAGCCACTAGCCTCCGGTCCAGCTTCGGCCACTGGTGTGCTGTGCTGGGCAAGATGTTGGTCCCTCCAGGTCTGGGGTGCTATCTGTAGGATGACCAGCCTGACCTTCCTCCTGGGCTCTTAGGAAATGACAGTGTGGTAAGGCATGGAGAGGACACAAGGTGCATCTAAGAAGCACATCTGTACCACCCTCCAGAAACACCACCTTCTGGCTGTATCTGGAACAAACCAAGCTCCATCCTGCTCATGCCTCTGCACCAACTACTCCTTCTCTTCTCTGGTTGCCTGTCTGGAGGAGACAGAGTAGCACAGAGGGACTCCAAACCCAGAAACAGGCTGGGAGCTCCTCCTCTGGACTGACATGGCCTCCGGTCTTAGCACTCATGCAATACTCAAAATATACTTGGTGCAGCATCATTCTAAAAGGGTAGAAACTGCCTGGGTTCAAATCCTGGACCTACCAGGGACTGTGCAAACTTTGGTAACTTACCTAACCTCTCTGTGCCTCAGTTTCCTCGTTTGAAAAGTGAGGATGATAACAATAGCACCTGCCTCGTGGGATTGTTGTGAAAGCTAGCTCCATTTCACAGATGAGAAGCCTGAGGCTAAGGGAAGCAACAGGACTTAGAGTAGGGAGGGGACATATTAATTGAGCTCCTCGTGTAAGCAGTGCCATCCGTGCTGGGTATTTTACTTATGTGACCCCATTTCATCTCAAAGCAGCCTGTTTATGGAAGCAGATGACTTGTCCTAAGTCACACAGCTGATAAGAGGCAGGCCTTTATCTACTATAGGGCTCACCCTATCCCCTGTTACAAGTAGCACCCGGACTCGGCCCAGCCAATTAGCATATCCCATCCCCTCCACCACAGTGATTGGTCAGACCTGGGCATGTGGTCTCATTTGCTCCAATGAAAAGCCTACCTGAAGGTTTTGCAGAATTATTGGGAAACAGAAAGTGTCCTTCTGCTTGGGTTGGTAACACTGGAGAGGATTTGAAAGCAGAATCCAGACAAAAGTAAAGCCCAGAGAGGACAAGAAATTGAGTTTAGTTCTCTGGATGCCAGAAGGCTGGAGCTTTCCAGTTACGTGGACTACAAAACAGGTTTACACAGTAGGATTGGGGTTTCCATCACTAGCTACCAAAAGACTCCCAGCTGATACAAAGAGACGGTGGCTCTTTTATTCCACTGTGATGAGTTGGATGACCCCCTCCACCAAAAATTATTCCAATCCCTAGCCAAGAACCAAAGCCACGATATCCCCAGAGCTAATCTGGAAAACAGAGTGGGTTTTTACTGGGCACCGGAGAGGTCTACATGCTTGGGTTTTCCTAAAGGACAAACCCAGGGTTCTTCCCGTACGCCCCCCCACTAGGATTTTTCAGGAGCTGACTCAGAAAACACGCTGCTTTGACAGCTGGCCTTTGTCCTTTATGGCCTCTGCAGCAGGTCCTTAAAGAAATAAAATGTCTTCACATAATAAAAGAGCTTGGACAAGATTCAAAATTCATTCTGGAGATGAAAAGATTCTGGGAAAAGCTCTCTCTGGGGGTGATCTGCAGCAAACACGAGGTCTGAAGGAGCTTGCTGTGCTCTCTCTTCCATGGGGATGCAATGGTAATAATAACAGATACCACTTAAGGAGCACTTACAAGGGCCAGGCACTGCCTACAGCTCTTTAAAAACACTCTCCTGTTTCATCCTCGCAATATTATTAAGAAGAGCAATGACAGTTGTGCTCATTTTCCCATGAGAGATACAGAAACTTGACCAGGTTACACACCTAGTTGGCGGTGAAGCTGGGGGTTAGACTTAAGTCAAGGGGTGAACAGATGAACAAACTCCGGATTTGAGTTTTGGGTTTCTTAAAATCCTGGGGCATGCAGAGTTGTTGGATCAAGTTTCACAACAAAGCCAGACCTGGGCCAACTATAGTTAGCCATCCAGTATACCCAGAGGTGTGATAAGTAGGCTGAAAGCCAGCACCCAGCCCAGCAAAGGGTCAGCACTCCATAAATGTGGCTGCATCTAAAAGAGGTTGGAAGGAATGGTCAAGAGGACTTGTGTTTACTGAGCACTTACTACATGTCTAGCACTTTTATATCAAATCATTCTTTCATGCAACGTAGACATTCCACAACAACCGGGCACTATGTGTGGTCCAAGGTAACGTTAGGTTTTTTTTATCCAGCTAGTTCATGGAATCTTGACCACACCCCCTCATGGTTTTGACATCTCATTTTGATAGATGTGGAAGTGAGGCTCAGAGAGGTTAAGACACCTATCCCAGGTTCACAGAGGGTCCTGGTAAAGGACTGAACTGAGATTTGACCCCCATCTCCCTCCCTTCAAAGGCAGGAACTCTCGATTATTCTTGAAACAATGTTCCAAGAACACCCAAAGTTCCTCCTGGTCCAGCTTGGGGCTGAGGACAGAGTCCTTGGTATCTCCATCTTTTGTCAACCTACCACACATGCCAGGTGTCTGGAGGATGTCTCCTTCAGTGGGACTTTATGCAGTGCTGTGCTGGAACTGGATCGTATCAGCTCACAAGAACCAACTGTTACGTTTTTAGAAATTTTGTGAACCATTTAACATCATGTTGATAGCTTGAAACTGACCACACTGGGAATATTTACACCATGGAAATAGGCAAATGCTACAAATCAAGACTCCCCCCCTCCTCCAGAGAGCCAGGTGTTAAATATTCCCCAGCACACCACTGGACTTCAGAGAAACAGTTCTGGTTCATTAATTTACTCACTCAACAAATACACACTGAGTTCCACCTCTAACATAATATAGTCTTGCATTCACTCTCACACCTGCTCAGCAAACCTAGGTTCATGGCCTACCTATGCTAGCCTCTGTGCTAAATATTGGGAATTCAGCAGGGGCAAGATAGGCATGGTCCCTGCCTTCATGGAGCTCACAGTCACACAGCCTGTACTAGGAGTAGGAGCTTGACCAAGTCAAGCTGGCAGGTAGGAGCAGGCAGACTCCAGGGAGAGGGGAATGGCATGTGCAAAGTTCCTGTGGCAGGAGGAAACTTAGCATGTTCCAGGAACTGACCCAAGGCCAGCATAGCTCGCAGTTAGAGAGGAGAGAGCAAAGAGGAGCATGGAGTTGGTGAGGGACCCTGGCAGCCCTAGGAGGCCGTGTTAGGGACAAGCCTCAGTGAGTCTATCAAAAACCGCCCACAGTTTTCAAGGCCCATGGACCTCAGTCCTCAGTCCTCATCAGATCCTTCCTACGGCACCTCTCTTCTGGGCCTCAGGTTCCCCACAGGAAAAATGAAGATGGAAACGCAGGCTGTGGGATTAAATGAAGACACAGATGAAAAGCACTTAGCTCCATGTCTGGCCCGCGACAAGCCTCGGTGAAGTGAACTATTGCATTTATCTCCCTGCTCCCACAAGGGTTCATTCGGCCGTGTGCTTTCTTGCGTTCGGTCCTTGCACCTCCACTGAGTTCCAAGCACTGTGCTAGCCCTGGGAAATCAGCCGTGACCAAGACACACACAGCGGGCCCTGGGGGGACGGGGTTGTTCTCTGCCTGGGAACTGCCTCCCTCGAACCCTCCAACAGTATTCATTACATCCCCGCTACAGCCGAGCGCTTCGGCATCCTCAACAGTGAGGATACAAATTAGGCTGACATGGGTGTGCCCTCTGGTCTACAGGATAAGACCTCCTCTTTTCTTTTCTTTTTCTAACATGTCTTTATTGATTTCAGAGAGAAGAAGGGAGAGGGAGAGAGAGAAACATCAATGATGAGAGTCATTGATCGGCTGCCTCCTGCATGCCCCGGACTGGGGATCAGCCGGCAACCCGGGCATGGGCCCTGACCGGGAATGGGAATCTCCTGGATCCTGGGTCGATGCTCGACCGCTGAGCCATGCCTGGCCGACAAGACCTCCTCTCTTTTCAACACTCAGGGCCCCAGGCTGGTTTAGGTGTCTCCCTGGGATGGCCTCCCCTCCCTCCTGCCGCTGTCCCTCTGAAATGTAGCTGCGAATCCCCACATGTCTCCCCAGCCCGCCTGGGAGCTCCTGGAAGGCAAGGCCTGGGTCTCAATTCAGCAGCAGCACCCAGCCCGCAGCCCAGAAGGTCTGGGGTCCATGTCTGTCGAATGAATCCTAAACCTCACCTGTCCCACAGGTGGAGCAAGAGAGGCTCCGCCCCCGCTCCC